TCAAGCTTGTTTATCCTTTCAAAGAACCAGCTCTTGGTTTCACTGATATTTTGTATTATTATTATTATTTTTCTTTTGGTCTCTATGTCATTTTTTTCTACTTTGATGTTTATTATTTCCTTCCTTCTGGTTACTCTGGGCTTTTCTTGTTGCTCTCTCTCTAATTCTTTCAGTTGCAAGGTTAGATAATTTATTACCATTTTTTCTTGTTTTTTGAGGTAGGCCTGTAGAGCCATGAACTTCCCTCGCAGGACTGCTTTCACCATGTCCCATAGATTTTGGAGTGTTGTGTTTTCATTGTCATTTGTTTCCAGGATGCTTTTTATTTCTTCTTTGATCTCTTTGGTAACACAACCATTGTTTAATAACATGCTATTTAGCCTCCAAGTGTTTGATTTTTTTTCATTGTAGTTGAGTTCTAACTTTATGCCATTGTGGTCTGAGAAAATGCTTGGTATATTTTTCTTCTCGAATTTGAAGAGACTTTGCCTGTGGCCTAATATGTGGTCTGTTTTTGAAAATGTCCCATGTACACTTGAGAAGAATGTATATTGTGTAGCTTTGGGGTGAAATGTTCTGAAGATGTTACTTAAGTCCATTTGATCTAGTGAGTCATTTAGGATTGCTATTTCTTTGCTGATTTTTTGTTTAGAGGATTTATCCAGTGGTGTCAATAGGGTATTAAAGTCCCCTACTGTGATTCTATTACTGTCAATCTCTCTCTTGATATCTTCCAGAAGTTTTTTTTATGTATTTGGGTGCTCCTGTATTGGGTGCTTATATATTTACCAGAGTTAGGTCCTCTTGTTGAATTGCTCTTTTAGTGTTGTGGCCTTTACTTTGCAGTCTTTTGCCAGATATAAGTATTACTTCCCAAGCTTTTTTCTCATTTCCATTTGCCTGAAAGATTTTTCCCCATCCCTTCACTGTCAGTCTGTGTGAATCCTTTGTTCTGAGGTGGGTCTCTTGTAGACAGCAAATATATGGTCATGTTATCTTATCCATTCAGCTACCCTATGTCTTTTTATTGGAGAGTTTAATCCATTTATCTTTCATGTCATTATGGATAAGTACTTGTTTGTCACCATTTTTATTCTTTATGCTTGTATTCCTTCTTCCCTTTCTATTTCTTCTTTTTACAGCAGTCCCTTTAGCATTTCTTGTATTGCTAACTTGGTAGTGATAAACTCCCTTAGCCTTTTTTGTCTGTGAAGCTCCTGATTTCACCTTCAATTTTGAATGGTAGCCTTGCTGGGTATAGTATTCTTGGATTCAGTCCCTTGATTTGCATCACTTTGTATATTTCATTTTATTTGCATCTGGCCTGATGTGTTTTTGTTGAGAAATCAGTTGATAGTCTGATGGGAGATCCATTGTAGGTAACTTTCTGTCTCTCTCTGGCAGCCTTTAAGGTTCTTACTTTGTCGTTGATGTTTGCCAATTTAATTATGATGTGTCTTGGTGTCAGTCTTTTTGGGTTCATCTTGTTTGGTATTGTATGTGCTTCTTGGATTTGTGTGTGTTTTTTCTTCCCAACATCAGGGAAGTTTTCTGTCATTATTTTTTCAAACAGGTTTTCTATTCCTTGCTCCGCTTCCTCTCATTCTGGTACCCTTGTTATGTGGATGTTGTTTCTTTTTGTGTTGTCCCAAATCTTCCTTAGGCTGTCCTCCTGCTTTTTAAGTTTTCTTTCTACTTGCTTCTGTGTTTGTGTGTTTTTCCTTACCTTGCCTTCTAATTCACTGATGTGGTCCTCAGCCTCTTCTCATATACTGTTTAAACCTTCCATTGTGCCCTTTATTGCAGCTATGTCATTCTTCATTTCCTCTTGATTCCTTTTAATATTGGTGACATTCTCATTCAGCTCCTTGTAATTCTCGTTGAGTTGTGTGTATTTGTCATCCAGCGGTTTGAGCATCCTTATAACAATTACTCTGAATTCTTTCTCTGACAAGTTACTTGCCTCAATTTCATTTAATTCTCTTTCTGATGATTTCTCTTTTTCTTTCCTTTGGAGATTGTTTTTTGTCTCCCCATTTTTTTGCTGTAATGTTTTATTTGTTTCTGTGTCTTAGATCCAACTGCTTTGCTACCCAGGTTCTTTTGGGGGTGGTGCTATGTAGTTGGTGATTTTTGGAACCCACTGGTGCAGTCTCTCAGATCTCCTGGGCTTGGTGATCTAGCGGAACCCCCTACCAGAGCTATTTGGGTTCTCTTGATATAGTTGGGTCTTGAATGTTAGTTTCTTATTCGTGGATGAAGTGTCGTCACGGATTGGCAATGTGACTCACCCTCAGCTCCATTGTGCAAGCAGTTGTGGATGTGATCATGGTTCCGGCTCTTGTGGAAAGGGTTGCCTGAGGTCTCACTGGTATGTGCTCCCTGTGGGTTCCCAGAGTCCATGATCTGGGAGGAAGGGGTCTTGGGGCCTGAGGCTCAGATACTGTGACTTTGGCTGGTGTGGTGTGACTCTTGCTGGGGTAGTGACACTCTGCAACTCACTATGAGGGTCTTGGAGACTGTGAGGGTGGGGGGCAGCTGTCCTGTAGTCTGTGGTTGAGGCAGTGGGACTCTGGCCAAAGTGATTTCCCTCTCTGAATCACGAGGGGGTTCAGGAGCCAGCAGCTGGGGATGTGGGAATCTTGGAGTCTCTGGCTGAAACAATATGACCTCGTCCAGGGAGGCAACTCCTCAGTAACTCACCAAGGTGTCCAGAGGTAGGCAGCTGGGAGGGGGATGTCATGGTTTCCACTGAGGGAGTTGTGCACCCTTGGTTGGAGAGGCACACGCCCAGTAGTAGCTCAAGAGGGGTCCAGGAGCCCTCTGCTGGGGCTGTGTGCTCGTGGGGCCTGCATGCTGGAGTGGTGCGGTCATGGTGTGCAGTCATGGTATCCAGATGCCAGCTTGGGGAGGGAGAAGTTCCAGTTTCTGCTTTGGGAGCTTTGCCCCCTTGGTTGGATACATGCGCCCACGGGTGGCTTACAGAGACACCCAGGAGCTGTCTTCTGGGGTGGTGGGCTCAGGGGGCCCACGTGCTGGAGTGGCACTACTGTGGGGACTGGATGCTGGCAGCTGGGGTCGCACCTTGCAGCAGTTCAGAGAGGCTCAGGAGCTGCCTGCTGGGGCAGCAGACTCAGGAGGCCTGCACGCTGGATTGGTGTGACTGCAATGTCCAGAGGTCAGCAGCCAAGGAGGAGAATTGCGAGTTGCTGCTGGGGCTTTGTGCCCTTGGTTGGTTATGAGCGCCCCCACAGTGGCTCACAGAGGCACCCAGGAGTTGCCTCCCACGGGCCAGGTAGGAGGGTGGGGGCCTCACCCCAGGGTTCAGGTAGGAGGTGGGGGCCTCACCCCAGGGGTCAGGTAGGAGGTGGGGGGCCTCACCCCAGGGGTCAGGTAGGAGGTGGGGGGCCTCACCCCAGGGGTCAGGTAGGAGGTGGGGGGCCTCACCCCAGGGGTCAGGTAGGAGGTGGGGGGCCTCACCCCAGGGGTCAGGTAGGAGGTGGGGGGCCTCACCCCAGGGGTCAGGTAGGAGGTTGGGGGGCCTCACCCAGGGGTCAGGTAGGAGTGGGGGGGGCGCTCTGGAGCTGTCCAATGCAATGGGGACGAGGGCCCTTTGTGTCGAGGGACTGAGCTCATGGCGGCCTGGGCAGTAGTGGCCTGGGCAGTGGTCCCAGAGCACAGGAGGCAGTGGGCAGTGCTAGGAGCAGTGGCTGGAGGCGGAGGAGGCAGATCGGCCATTTCTTGCAGAGGAGACGGGCAAGTGCCCTGGGAACCGGGGTGCCATGGGGACCAGGGTGCTGGCTCCTCTGGGAAGGCTCCTGGGCCTTCTTCCTCGCTCGCCCTGGCATCAGCGCAGGCCTTTCTGGATGCAGGATGGCACCCTCGGTGGGAAGTGAGCGGAGGACGCGGCGCCTTCTCTGACCTTCTCTGACTTCATGGTGCCTAGAGTCCTGTCCATGAGCCGCTGCACCTCTGGACCTGGCTGCTGTGCTGTGCCTGTCTCAGAAGTGAGTGAGGAACAAGGTATCCGTTCATTCTGTCTAGGCGGAGTGTTAGGCGGCTGCTCCCTGGTGGGCAGTCAGGGCCGCAGGCTGAGCCTGAGGAAGTGATCCGGACTCGACCCCAGACCCCCAGGTACTCACCGTCACCGTCACCGTCACCGTCACCGAGAGGCAGAGGGTGATGGCGAGTGGGAGGTTTTCAAATGACGTAATTTGCAGTGCAGGTGGGTCCCTGCCAGGTGAGGAGGCGGGGCTGAGGGGGCCTCTCCCTAGGGGCCAGGGCAGTTTGTTTTGGCCTCGGTGCACTCCTCCAGCTTATAGCCACAGTGCACTCTCCACGCCCTCAGCTGGGGGCCCCAGTGGTGGCTGCCTTTCTGCGCCCCTGTGGGAAGTACAGGTGTGCGTTTAATGAGAAAGTGCTCTTACCCGCAACTTGGCCTCTGCATCCTCTCACGTATCCCGCCCGCGGCCTAGAACCTTCCAGTAACTTTCTGGCCGCCTATGAAGCGCAGTCCCAGCGCCTCAGTAACATTCTCCATTTGGGGCATGTTCACCGGACCTGACCTTCGGCTTATGTCCAAACACCATCTCTTCCA